GCCAAATTCTAATCCTTGAGATGGAGACCTGAACACTCAAGCAAGAGTTTTTTAACCTGGGTCTATGAATGCCTCAAAGGGCTCCTTGGATTTGGTTCAGTATATAAATGAGCCCTGTAAAATAATTGTAAAATTGTGTGTGTGTGTGTGTGTGTGCGCGCGTGTGCATTTTTCCTGGAGAAAAGCATTGATAGATAGATCTCATCATACCATATAATTTATTGTTCAAATTATAATACTTTTAAAAGTGAAATGGAATGTTCTCGATTATTGCCCTCAGCAACAGGCTTAAAATGAGACTTTTAAGGGCAAAATGGGAAGTATAATTATTTTATCAATAACCCAAGAAGGAAATACCCCACTGTACCAGAGAATTTAGCTTTTCATTATTTTAACTCAAGAGCCACTCATGGATTTTCATTCATGGCAGTTGACTTTGACACAATCAGATATACTCTGCAAGTGTCTGGAAACATATCAGATGGCTTTTGGAAACCATCCCAAAGGTTTTAAGCCTGCAGGTTCTCCTCTCCAGTCCGACTCTCTCACCTGCCCTTCACTCTGGCTGTTACTGTGAGCTTTGCCCTTCCTACCAAACTTGGGTTCAGGACATGGCACTGGCCTGGATGTCCTCACACTTCGTCTCTGATTCTTTTTCTGCTTCACAAGTGCTTCTTTTCGTCCTCCTAAATGAATAAGGATTACCACGGTTGGGGCTGAGCCTTCTGCTCTACACTTTCCCTTGAGAAACAGATCTAATTATACAACTTTCAACAGCATATACCAGTGACTGATTCACAGCTGATGGTTCGCGTCAGAGTCCCAAACTAGACCCAGGAACCTTCGTCTGCCTGAGGAGTAAGCTGATGAAGTTACTCAAACTCATAGTATTCAGTCTTCTATGTGAAGTTGAGGGAAAAGTTTTTAAAATATTGGAATAACCTTTCTGCGTTTGCAAGATAGAAGCTTACGTTTCAGAGAATCTGAATATTAGTCTGTGGCTCTAACAAAACAATGTAACTAGAGTTAGGATTTTCACTTGAAAAGTATGTTATATTCCATGGTTTGTGAGCAATAGTTACATGAATAATAGAACTCAGATTGCTTTTGTACACAAAAGCCCCATCAGACATTAAGATAAACTCCAATGGCAAGCAACTCTTCCTAAATGTCAAACACTAATACTGTCTCTTTCTCCAAGCTAGAGTTTGACGTGAGCTCATTTAAGCAGCAGCTTGGTTTGCAGTCAGATGAACAGTGAGGCTCCCTGGGTATCTGGACGGTATCAGTTCCAGGACCCCCATGGACACCAAAACTCTGAGGATGTTCAAGTCTCTTATATAAAAGGGCACAGTATTTGCCTATAACCTATGTATACCCACTCTTGTACTTTAATCATCTCTAGATTACTGGTAATACCCAATACAATGTCAATGCTATGCAAATAGTTGATTGTACAAGGCAAAACAGTCTGTACATGTTTAGTACAGACACAGCTATCATAGGTCTAACTACAAGGTACGCATCAGCAACAATGTAATATTATTTTTCAAATATTTTCCATCTGTAATCAGTTGAATTCATGGATATAGAACCCACAGATATCAAGGGCTGACGATATGTTTTTAAAAAAGTCCTTTCAGGGGCAAAATCCTAGAGTACTTAGAAGCTATTCTCCTTTTCCTCTTCATATGGCTCATCAATTATTCAGTTTTGTGAGGTTAATATATATTTTTTTATTGATTTCAGAGAGGAAGGGAGAGGAAGAGAGAGAGATAGAAACATCAATGATGAGAGGGAATCATTGATTGGCTGCCTCCTGCACACCCTCTGCATAAGCCCGCAATCTGGGCATTTGCCTTTGACCAGATCGAGCTGGCTGAAGCTCTATCCACTGAGCCAAACCATCTAGGGCTGTCCTTATAATTATCTCTGTATGAATCTGGCTACCTCTGTAACTGACAATGTCTTTTTCTTCTTTATATCTCTAATGCCTGGTGTAATATTTGCTACATAAATAGGTTCAATGGATAGTTGATGAGGGGGGTTGTGTGCTGGGTGAAAAAGGTAAAGTGATTAAGGAAAAACAACACCACTCAGACACAGACAACAGTATGGTGATTACCAGAGGGAAGGGGAGTTGGGGGTGTTAGAAGAGGGTGTGAGGGGATAAATGGTGATGGAAGGAGATTTGACTTGGGGTGGTGAATACACAATACAATATACAGATGATGTATTATAGAATTGTACATCTGAAACCTAGAGAATTTTATTAACCAATGTCACCCCAATATTCAATAAAAAATTTTAAAAGCTAAAGTAAAACGATACTATTTAGTAATATTTGCTAGATATTATTACTACAAGTCTCCAAATTTTATTCAAAAATAAAAAATAACCTACTTTAAAATCTGCTTGAATAAAAGCCTCTAAAATTACAGTGACACAAATATAGAAAACACAAAGGTATAGCAGCTACGTAATTAGGCTATTGTTAGGATCATTAGTACTAAGCTTAATTTCACTACCAAATATTGTTTTATATATCAGGTTTTCAAATACTACTCAGCGGAAAAAAATTAATCAAAAAGAGCAACCGGCTGGCGTGGTTCAGGGGTTGAGTATTGACCAAGGAACCAGGAGGTCATGTTTCGATTCCCGGTCAGGGCATGTGCCGGATTGCAGGCTCAGACCACAATGTGGGGTGTGATGGAGGCAGCATATCAATGATTCTCTCTCATTATTGATGTTTCTATTTCTCCCTCTCTCTCTCCCTTCCTTTCTGAAATCAATAAAAATATATTTTAAAAAAATAGTAACAACAGATTGTTAGAACAGCAGGCAAATAAAGACTGATCATATGACCTCAGTTAAAAGTAATGATGTTTAATAAAATATAAGAGAAACTTGTACTATCTATAAAACCCTAGTTGCTTCAAACCAAGACAGTTGTGGGTGCCAAGGATGCCAGCCACCATGGTGCGTGTAGACCATGTTCTAATAATTACTTCCTCCTTGCTATACCTTAGCCACTAAGACTAATCCTGGGCTTTTACTGACATGAGAGTAGGCACAGGAATACAGTAGAAAATTATAACACATCATAATTAATTACAATAAGCCAGAGAGGTTTATAGGTTGAGTTGTGTCCCTCCAGCATTCTCCTGTTGAAGTCCTAACCTTCAGTGTCACAGAATATGACTATGCTTGGAGGTAGTGTCTCTAAAGAGGTGAGTTAAAATAAATCATCAGGATGGGCCCTAATCCAAGATGATTGGTATCCTTATAAGCAGAGGACGTTGGGACACAGAAGGAAGACCACATGAAGACAGAGGGAGGAGACAGCATCTAGAAGCGAAGGAGCGAGGAGGCCTCAGGAGAACTCAAATTTGCAGATACCTTCACCTCAAACTTCTAGCTTCCCGATGGTGAGAAACTAAATACCTGTTGTCTGAGCTACCCAGTCTGTGGTACTTTGTCACAGCAGCCCTAGCACAGTAAGACACCAAGTACCTTCTCACTTCTTGATTCATTAAATCTAATTTATACTCAAAACATTCATGGATGGTAATATTTTCACATTTTTATAGACAGGGAAACCGACATCCCAGAGATGTTGAATGACCTCTGAGATCATCCGGTGGTTGAGCACCAGGAGGCAGGACTAGAGTAGCGTCTCTGTCCCCAGTCCTTCTGGCCTTCCACTCTCAGCAGGTGGCGGATGACCGGACACCGGGGCTGTGGTCCCAGCAGTGCCCTAAACTCATTATGAGACCTTCAGCGTCATTACTTTTTAACATCTTTGTTTCTTTCATCTGCAAAATGAGGGGATTGAATTAAATATTCTAAGATCTATATAATGCCTTCCCCATTTTAAGCATGTAGCTCAAGTCATTGTTTCCAAACTCCTAAAGAAACTGGCTCTGTAAACTCACTTAGAATCAAAAGAAAAGTCAATATTTGGGGAATCACTTACTATTTTGCCCACAGAAATGATCTCTCTCTCACAAAAATATATAGACACTTAAAAATGTTCTGAAATATTATGAACTTAACTCATCTTTAAAAAAGTAATGTTTAAAGGGCTTGCATCCCATTAGTTAATTTCTGTTTTTAAAGATTCCTGCACTCTGAGCTTTTAAGAATTGCACATAGCTTCATGAACAAAACACTGGACTGAGTTTTTTCACAGAAAATCTGAATTCAGGCTTAAAATCTACAGTGAACAATTGCATAATCTTGAGTGAGGGGGGCGGGGAGGAGGAGTTGCAGACCTCAATTTCTAAATCTGAGAAATGGTGCAAAGAGCTTCCGCATGCCTGGAGGGACAGTTTGCCATTAAATGAATGAGAATATTTGTACTCTTTGGAGGGAAGTTGCTGCAAGGTAATTCATTAAAAACTCATAGTGTTAAGGCATCTTTTTAAAATAATATCCTCAGTTTTGAAATATCGTGTGAGTGCCTGATTTGCATGTTGTTCATACCTATGGTGAAGGCATATTTTGTTTGCCAGGAAGAGGCAAACCATGGAAAGTCATGTGTACCATAATGGAGTGTAGCAGGTTATAGGACTGTAGGGGTTAGAATTGTGAATCTTCTCTTGTGTGCTTTTTTAACTAAGTAAGGGCAGTTTGCCCAAAGGGGAGGGGAAACCATCTACAAACCACACACTCCACATCCAATCACAAAGAGACAAATCAGCCTTCAGGCGAATCAAATGTCTTCATTTAAAGCTTACCTGGACTTGGCACTCTGCCCATCTTTTCCAAATCTCTTAACAACATGCTTTCACAGTTGAAAACATGCATACTGAAACAGCATACCTTTTGCAACATTGGTTTTTAAGAAAAGGAACTCTTTGGCCTAGGAAAGGCATTTGCTTGGGAAAAGGAAAGTTCCTTTCTGGGTTTGCAGCATGTAAATCAGAGATCAGTGGGTGGGACTGAGGTGTGCTCCAGTGCATAAATACAGGCCGGGCTGAGCTGGCACACTAGGAAGCTTGGACGCATCAAGGCCACCTGGCTCGCACAGACAGGTGGGTGGGGAAAGCCAGGTAAGGCTCCTGACCATAGCGCATGTTGGAAGGGCACTACGTTCTGGCCTCTGGTTACCTTGTGAAAGAGAGTTTCAAGGTCAATGAAATGGGGTTTGGAGAGGGAATAAATGGAGTTTTCACCAAAGGTTTGCTGGGGCCTTTCTTTGGCCTGAGCGGGTAGTGGGCTACCTTCCTGAGCCGGTTCACGGGCATGCTTTCTCCCTTGGGACACAGGAGGTTGGAGTGGGTGAACTCTAGGTGTTTCCAAGGTAGGACAGGGCCTGCGTCCTCTGTCTCTGTGCACTGGTCACCATCGATGCTCTGCTGGTCTCCCACTGCCTAAAGCCGAGGCCGCAGCCCGGGGAACCCTCCCTCAGATTGCCCGCTGGCAACTGCAGTTTAGAATGTGACTGAAAAGCAGAAAAACAGTCTGGTGCTCTTTCTCTGTCTGGTGTAGAGATTCTTGTTGCATCTTCAAGCTTTAAATTCATGGGATAAACTATAAGAGAAATCTGGGTGCTTTCTTAAGGCATTTATGAATAGGGACACCGAAACTTCCTGCAAGTTTATTCCTCGCTAAAGATAAGAGGGCAGAGATAGAGTGACCAATAAAAAGCGTTGGTGAGAGGAGAGAGAGAGAGAGGCACCAAACGGTCAATGTCTCCCACAGTTAGCATTCTGGAGGAAGTTTGCAGGGCAGAGTCTATTCATATTATGAGAAGTCGATAGAGTGAGTCTCAGCAGGATGTTTGAACAGCAGGAGTTACATTAGACAAAATTCTGTCATCCCGCCATAAAACACAAGTAATATATCAATAGTTCCGACCTGTAAGTGGTGGGGCTATCGCACGGGCTCCTAATAGCTGCTTGAACAACCAGAATTGTCAATGGATTAAATAGGTAAAATGCTTCACCACCAGTTTATGATTTTCTAAATATACACAGATGCTGTAGCTCTAAATAAAATAGGGAATCAAATGAATGTTGATAAACTCAAAGTCACTATTTGCCATGATGTTTCTAAATCAATTAATATTCAAAAAGTACAAGTATTCTCACATAAAAGTTCCTGGATTTTTTTAAACACTACACAAGTCTTTGTACTAAGAGGGCTGGGAAGCATTGACTTACAGTGCACGTGAGTTGTTTTTGCAGAAGAGTAGGATACAAAATTTGTTATTGGCTTTTCCAGTGTAGAAACTAAAGAAAATCTTTATCAGTGTAGAAAGTAAAGAAATGCACCCTTGCCTTTTATGTATTTTTGAGTAAGATGTTTTGTGGCTACATACTACTATTCGCATATAATGGGCCAGTTTTATATAAGGTATCATCTGGTTTGATGACTTAGCAACACTTTTTTTTTTCAATCAGCAAAGGTTCCCACTTAAGCTATCAGAACATGAAAAACATTCCCCTTAAAAATACTAAGCTTTGACAGTCCATCCTGCTTCCTTTGCAGTTTATTTAACTTCAAACCTCCACCAATATTAGAGCTAGATTTTCTTTTCAAACAATTTTCTTTGGCTTTACTAAAAGCCCAGGTCTCCTGCTTTGAGTGTTGTAGTCCCTGGATAACCATAGCGATTTGCTGGTGCTGTTCATTTTGGAACTTGCTTTCCCTCACTCACTCCGGGATGTTCTCTTGTCATTCACTCTCCTATTCATGGGAATCTTCTTCACAGCATCGTGACCTTCCCTAAGAATTAACTGCAAAATACTAGAAAAAACAAACAAACAAACAAAAGCCTAACAAAAACACTCATCAGGTTGCTTTCTCTGTGTGTTATGAGTCCCATAGAATACTTTTGTGCACAAGTGTGCGCCCAGAACATTAGCTATACCAGGCCCACTGCAAGAGGCACAGTTGTTTCAGTAGAAGGAACTTGCATTGATATATTTCAGTCAATTCAGAACTAATATATAGAGTTTGAATAAATATCACTCGGGGGAGAGAATTATGAGGGTGCAAGTTTTCAGTTAGATGACAAAGTTGCCAGGTATTAAATTAAGTAAGGAATTACTTTACTCAGATCTTATTCTTCAAGGGCAATGTTCCCTTTTTAACAAAAAGCTAGAGAAGTATCGATGTTTAGGATAATTGTTCCAGGATGGGAAAATGGGAGCCAGCACTGCAAAAGGGCAAGATTTAGGAACCTTGGTTCGCACCCATCTCATAAATCTTCATCTCTCTGAATGTCAGATTCTTCATCTATAAATGAGGCACTGGGGAGGTGGGAAAAGAGGAGGTAACCGATATGGTATCTTCCAGTAATACATGTTTTAAATCCTTTAGCTATAAGAGTATATACATCTATTTATTTTCTTAAAATATATCTATATTTATATTGTAGATGCCTATGGAGCTCTACATCAGTATATTTATATCTGTATAGAAACAGAAAGATAGATGATAGATAGATGAAGTCTGAAGATTTTGGAGACTGATAATTCTCTTTTGTCTTGCTGACTTTTTGCTTGTTTTCATGATCAGGTTTGCCATGGAGAAGATTTCAGTGTCAACATTCCTCCTCCTTGTGGCCCTCTCCTACACCCTGGCCAAAGATACCACAGTCAAACCGGGGGCTAAGAAGGACACCAAGGACACAAAGGTCTCTCCACCCAAACTGCCCCAGACCCTCTCCAGAGGTAGGAGTCCGTGTCTCATCAGCTTCCAATGCTGCCTAATTGGGAAGCTGAGACTTGTGTGCTGAACATATTTTTTGTATGTGTTCCTTCTAGATTTATCAAAATTGATAATTATTTCTACTTTCTCTAGAGGTTTTAGTATCAAGTATATATCTTTAGTATCAAGTATGTATCTCAGCCATCATTGCTTTTCAACAGCTTTGGATCTGAAATTATAATAGCTTTAAATTTACTGGTTCATTTTGTCCTAGGTTGGGGTGATCAGCTCATCTGGACCCAGACATACGAGGAAGCTTTGTACAAATCCAAGTCAAGGTAAAGATGAGGGTGACAGCAGCTCCCTCAAAGCTCTCAAGAGCACCATCTAGTGATGTTTAGCTGCACATGAAATCTACTCAGTAAAAATGATCCAATCTCTCTTTTCTTTTCAAGCAACAAACCCTTGATGATTATTCATCACCTGGATGAATGCCCACACAGTCAAGGTAATTTATTCTTCTAAATATAATTTCCTTTATAGGCTTTTAGCTTTAGGGCCAAGGTCCGATCACTCATCTCGGTATCCTTAGCATTTAGCACAGCTGAATACTAAATGATATTTCATGCAGTAAAAAGATATTTAAGGCAACTTCAAATATTTCCACGTTTTATGTTAACCATCGCTGCATATTTTGAAAAACAAGCTCTTTAATTCATCCTTGACATCTTTTTCTTTTACCCTGTGTCCAATACATCAGCAAATAACATTGGCTGTGCCTCCAAAATATACCTCAAAGCCAGTGTGGGCTTCATACAGCCTGTGCAGCTGCACAGGGCCCAGTGCTTAACAGTTCCCATGCTTGGTTTAACATTCTGTCGTCATTGTCTGCAAATTCTTAATAACTTTTGAACAAGGGGCTCATGTTTCTATTTTGCATTGGGCGCCACATATCATGTAGCTCCTGCCCAACTCCAACCACTGCCTGCTGTCTCACTGTCACTGCCATGATCCAAACCAAGAGCTAGGTGCCATAACAGCCACCTACCTGGACACCCTAGAGTCAGTTCTCCATACAGATGCCAAAATAAATCTGTTCAACATAAGTCAGATCCTATCAGTCATGTGTTCGAGTGGCTTCTACTCAGATGTACAATTAAATCCAGATTCCTGACCCAGGGCTGCAAGGCTAGACACGATCTGGCATCTGGCTCCTCCCTTTCTTACACTCTCCTCTTATTTTTCTCTCCACTCCCTCTAGCCTGGCCTTTGTGCTTTGACTCAAACATCTAAGTTCATTTTCACCTCAGGACTACTGCTCTTAGAGTCAGTCCCCTCCACGTAGTATGACATGCCTCCAACATCTTAGAATGGGTCACTCTCTCACATCAGTGTCAGCTCCTCGGGGAGACCTACCCTGGGCACTCTATAGCTCTTAAACCTCTTGCTTTGCTTCATTTTTCTTCAGAGTACACATCTCCACCTGAAATTATTAGGTATTTATTTGTTTGCTTATTTGTGATGTCTCCTACACAGGCATTTGAGCCCCTTGAAGAAAGCACATTACTTCTTTTTTTTTTCACTGCTCTATTTCCAGGGTATAAAACAGTGCCTACCATAGAGTGGCCACTCAATAAAAATAGGCTAAAAAAAAATGGATGGATAGATGGGTGGATGAATGGGAAGAAGTAGAGGTAGTCAATAGCCTAAATATTACTACACTAATGATTTGCTGAAAGGGCAAAGTTGAACACTGCACTAAAAATTACAGTTCAACTTAAAATATACCAGAGAGCAATGGTGCTGAGATGGATGCTTAATGGTTTTTCTTTATATTATAGCTTTAAAGAAAGTGTTTGCTGAAAATAAAGAAATCCAGAAATTGGCAGAGCAGTTCATCCTCCTCAATCTAGTTGTAAGTTTCCTTTTCATCATCACTGACCTTTCTCATTATTCAAAATGGATGATTCATTTCTCCTGTACATCGTAATCATGTTTGGGATGAACTAGGATCTGCCCCAAATACTCATCTCAAAGACTGGAGAGAAAAATGATACTTTATTTTATTAATAATCCGCCTTTCATGTTGTTTTTATTTAGTAATTAATAACTTCAGGTTGTCTGAAAAGTACTCTCCTGTGATCAGGATTTTCTCTGTTGCTGTAATAATTAGAAGGTTTTTGTATTTTGCAAATTACCTCCTGTGTCCCTTCCTGCGGTTCTGGCTGCTCCACACCCATTCTTAGTCCTTGTCTCCTCTCTCCCTGGAAGAGAGAGCTCTCTGGTTGTCCAAATTTAGCCTCCTGCATTCACACTGACTTCACCATCACCACCCTTCCTGGTGCCCAAGCTTTTCTGCTTACTCTATCATAACCCTCAACTGGAGTCAGAGTCTCTCTCTCTCTCTCTCTCTCTTCATATATTGACAGGTGGGCTTCTTCCAAGACCATCCACACCAGTAGTTCTTCCTCAACTCCCTTCCACAGGCTCCTCTTCCTCCCCCTAAATATTAAGTGATTTGGTGAATCTCTATTTGGCCTGCTCTCTTATTTTTATATTTTATATTCTTTATGGACAACATCATCTATATGTGTCTTTAATCAATGGTCACACAGTGACAATTCCCACAAGCAACTCCCAACTGGTATATACAGCTATGTTCCAGACATCCCATAATTCACTTAAACTCAACATGTTCCACTGCATTTCTCAGCTTGGTCCAGGCTTTTCAAATTGCTCTTCTTTCTCTAGTTCCTATTTCATCAGAAGTGTTCTTCTAGACTGGACTCTCCTACTAACCTGCAGCAGTCAAGCCTATGGTGTGTGTATATATATATATATATATATAATCTCACACATATACATATATATATATATATATATACTAGAGGCCCAGTGCACAAATTTGTGGGCGGGTGGGGTCTGGTCGACCCGCCCTGATCAGGGTTGGGGGCGCTGATTAGGGCCGGGGGGGAGGGGCCCCTGGTCGAACTCCCGGTTGAACTTCCAGTTGAGGGGACAATTTGCATATTAGCTTTTTATTATGTAGGATATATACATACATACATACATACATATATATGATCAATTACTTACAGGAAATTTCTCCCTGGATGTTCAATGAGTATCTCATATTTAATATTTCCCACAGTGAACTCTTTTTTTTTATAAAATATATTTTATTGATTTCAGAGAGGAAGGAAGAAGGGAAAAGAGATAGAAACATCAATGATGAGAGAGAATCATTGATCGGCTGCCTCCTGTAAGTCACACACTGGGGATCAAGCCTGCAACCTGGGCATGTGCCCTGACTGGGAATCGAATCTGTGACCTTCTGGTTCATAGGTCAATGCTCAACCACTGAGCCACATTGGCTGGGCAAGACCTATGGTTCTAACTTGTAAATATTTTTGTTATTGGTCACTTCCCTATAAACCAGTGGTTCTCAACCTTCTGGCCCTTTAAATAGAGTTCCTCATGTTGTGACCCAACCATAAAATTATTTTCATTGCTACTTAATAACTGTAATGTTGCTACTGTTATGAATCGTAATGTAAATATCTGATATGCAGGATGGTCTTAGGCGACCCCTGTGAAAGGGTCGTTCAACCGCTAAATGGGTCGCGACCCACAGGTTGAGAACCGCTGCTACACACTGAGAACCACCATTTTAGTGAGAGGTGTTCACTTTGCTTAGCTTACTGCGGTATTATTAAACGGCTCCCTGCCTACACGACAAATCCCATCTAACCCCACATGCCATGAGGGTGATCACTTTGAAGACCAAATTGGGATCACAGTGCTCTTCTCACATCCCTCCACTGCTTCTTAGCTATTTATGAACAAATGCAAACACAGTGGCATGCTGTGCAAGAAACTACATGAGCTGGCCCCCGAAGCAGCTCTCCAGCATCTTCTCTCACCGCCACCCCCTGCATTCCCTCTAGTTTAGTCCTTTCCCAACACTTGGTCATGTCAGAAAGTGCTACGCATTTCCCCCTCCCTGCACAATCTCTCCCCTCTGCCTGAAAGACCTCCTTTTCCGTGGAACTGACTTGTTTTCATTTTTAATGATTCCTCATTACCCACTTCATAAAGTCTGAACAGAACTTGCATACGGGGTTACATGTCCTGCTCAGGGCAGCCCTGGCCTCTGTCTTCCTCCGTCATTAATACGTCAGACACTGGGTCTCCAGTATTCATTTTCCTACCTGCATCTCCCAAAAGACCGTGCACCTATGAGAGATAAGTAATGTATATTGCTACACAAAAAACTTCTAAATAAAAATATAATAAGTGGGTAGCTGAATGCTCAAGATAATCCTATGTTTCTTTCTGTAATTTCTCCAAAAATGATTTCTGTGGTTTTTTTTTTTTTTCATTAATCTACTTCTCCTGCCTCATGAAAGATGTCTTCACCAAACACTATAACTTCTTCCTAATTCTCTCGTCATTTCTGCTCTTTATCACATACATTCAGCTCTTTACCGCCTGTTCTGTATCACATTCTCCACTAGCTTGTTTGCAGGCATGTAACTTATCTCTGCATCTGTTTTATTACTCTCTGGGGGAGAGTTGTGCCTTCCGTGTCTTAAGATGCCTAGCCCACTAACAGACACATGTTTGTATTAAATAGTTTGAAGATAACTAAAGAGTAAACAAACTAAAAAGCTGTATTTTTTTTTAATCTTAGTATGAAACGACTGACAAGCACCTTTCTCCTGACGGCCAGTATGTCCCCAGGATCATGTTTATTGGTAAGAGACAATGACATGAAACACACACGGACAATGACCCAAGCGCTTCCATATCTCCCCTTTGCCCTCCCCGACCCTCAGATGCCACTCCACCACTCCACCGTGGCTCCAATGAGGTACAGGGGTGGGCAAAAGTAGGTTAGTAATAATAGTAACAAACAATACAATAGTTAATAAGTAATAATTCAAGAATAAACTGTTTCACAGCCTCTCAGCTGTAAACCTACTTTTTGCCCATCTCTGTACCTCAGGCCTGTAAACACTTATTATTAATTAGGCAAACTTCCAATTTGTGTCTTGGGTAGTTCTTTCTGATACTGTTGATAATTATTTTAGGACAGTTAAGAATGTGAAGGTTTTTTTCTAAAAATCAAAGTTACCGTGCCCCTGCCTGCACCGGGACATTTTATATGCTGCTGGGAGCTTGCCTTGCCTCCCCTTCTGCAGCTACCTGCCACCTGTTCCCTCCCCAGCATCTCTGTCTTTCACTGACCTGCCAAAGCCCACGAACACATGCTCTTGTGGCTCCGGTTTCTTTCAGTGGTCACACTGTCCTCAGTTATAATTTTATAATTATTGGTATTCGTTAAATAAATATTTTCCCTCATGGGACTATAAACTCCATGTAGCAGGGACGATAGCTGCTTCTGCTCACCATTATTTTTTCAGCATGACCCTGTGGTGGGCTCACAAAAAAAAGATATTCCTTAGATGACTGAACAAATTAATTGAGTGTGGCCATACTGATTTAAAGACAGTCCAAGACAACTGTATGGTGATTGCCAGAGGGAAAGGGGGTGGGGGAGGGAAAACAGGGTAAAGGGGGGATCAATGGTGATGGAAGGAGGCTTGACTGGGGGTGGTGCACACACAATACAGTATACGGATGATGTATTATAGAATTGTGCATCTGAAACCTAGAGAATTTTATTAACCATTGCCACCCCCAATAAGTTCAATAAAAAAGGAAAATAGATAGCCCATGATTAAATCCAGCACAGAAAAAAGAGCTCACGCTAGTCAAGTGGCTCACCGATGTAATTCCCCCACGTTCACACTAAATGTACAAAACGGGAGGGGGAAAAGCGAAGGAAGGAGGGAGGCTGAACTAGAGTTTCATAGACTTGATTTTGTTAGGATTTAGAACATTTGGAATCCTTGAACTGGAGACCTTATAGGCCATCCACTCTTACCTTGTGCGCAAATTCTGTTCACAGCATTCCCATCTCAGACAGTTTTAACTCGCGTCAGGTCCCTTAAGTCATGAGAACCAACTCCGACTCCCAGGCAGCTTGCTCTCAGCCACTTCCCCACGTGCCTGCACATGAGAATCACCTGGGCGATCTTTAAAACCAAGCTTCCCAGGCCACCTCAACCCAATTAAACAGAATGCCTGGGTGCACGACAAAGGCATCGGGATTTTTTTTAAAGCTCTCCAGGTGATTCCATGGTGCAGCCAGAGTTGTGAGCCAACGGCTGGGTATTGAAAAGCCTATGTTAACTCAGGGGTTCTCAGCCATGGCTGCACATTGGAATCACCTGGGAATCGTTTTAAAATCCTGATTTCTGGGCCTCATCCTCCGGAAATTCTGTTTCTTTGTTACTAATGTTGTGGCCCCACCCCCATAACAAAGAAACAGAATTTCCAGAGGATGAGGCCCAGAAATCAGGAGTTTAAAACGATTCCCAGGTGATTCTAATGTGCAGCCAAGGTTGAGAACCACTGTGTTAACTTATTACCACGATCCGGTGTTTGTATCCTCTGCACCAAGCAGTAGCAGGTCTTTAGTCTTTGTTGAACAAAAGAATGTCTGCGTTTTGTAAATTACGTTGGTCCTAGTCCAATATTCTGAAATGACAGAGACTGACCGTCAAAGACTAGCGACAGACATTGCAAACCTGCAGTGCTTGCGCGTGTCCTCTTCACGCAGATTCCAGGACATATATCTTAGGCTCCTTCAGTCACCTCTCTGGAGGTAAGGCCTTTGTACATCCCATAACACCTCCCTTTTGGATGTGTCTTATTTGATTTATTTTATTTTTTAAATACATTTTTATTGATTTCAGAGAGGAAGGGAGAAGGAGAGATAGAAACATCAATGATGAGAGAGAATCATTGATCGACCTCCTGTATACCCCATACTGGGGATCAAGCCCCCAACCTGGGCATGTGCCCTGACCGGGAATTGAACCTCACCCCCTGGTTCATAGGTTGACGCTCAACCACTGAGCCATGCCGGCCGGGCTGGGTGTGTGCCTTATTTTAAAAATACCTTTCTGTCTCATTAATAACTTCAAGTTAGTATAAAACCTGAAAAAAAATAATTTAAACAACGCATAAGGGATGACTCCTAAATCTGCATTTTTTTAAAAATAAGTAAGAGAGGGCTACTGTATGCTTATTTGACCTTTGATGCTCTTAGGACTCATCTTCTTTTATTCATTAAAAAATATATGTTGGTTTTGAACACCAGCATTAGATATGGGTTTCTGATGAACCAGGTTGCTCCTGGTAACAACACACTTAAATTACAACATAATCATTTCAAAAGCTTAAAACAATTCCTTGGTAGAGAATGCTATTGTTTTCACCCAAAATGAAAACACCAGCCCAACAATGTGTATTATCCTGTTTTCAGGTTGCTATAGATAGCACAGCGGGGTTCATAACCTTTCCCACAAATAGCCACACACAGCTGTTGATGGCTCTCAGCCCGGCGTGGGGTCCTGCCTGCCCAAGGCTGCTACAGAGCGGATGGGGTAGATCTGCGGGGACACACACTGTACTCCTTTCAGAGAACGTGGACAAATCCACGTGCTTCCTCCCGCGATGGTGCAAACACAGCACTCCAGCCCAACATCCCCTTTTGCTTTTCTTTTGTAGACCCATCCCTGACAGTTAGAGCCGACATCACTGGAAGATACTCAAATCGTCTCTATGCTTATGAACCTTCGGACGCAGCTCTGCGTAAGTATCGCCTCCTTTGACCATCTCTATGTGGTCCTGCGGGAGTAGAGGCCACAGGACTACGACGAAGGCAGGGAAAGCTGCTCAGTGGCCCCGGGAAATCAGTTTGACCAACTAGTCTCATCACTTTAATCTCATTTTTTAAAAATTGTAAGTGAAGATGAATCATTTACATTAGGTATTGCTTTTCTCCAGGAGGATTCTATGACATGTTACCTGAGTTTCAGGTTTTTCTCTTAGGCACACTAACATGTCACAGAATTGAGTGCAATAGTTGTAGTAATCTGCATGCTTTGTTAAATGTGGTTTTTCCAAATAATGAAAGTGAAATAATGTAGTCTTTGTGGACACTAAATTCAAGTTCAATTTTAAAGATCAGTAGGAAAGATGGCTCCAAATAGTTGCCAAGAGACTCACTTCCGAGAGAGACTCTCAAGGAAGATGAGGTACCTCAATAAGAGACTGCACCTACTGTGACATCTAACTAATCCTTCTGGGAAGAAAACTGGGTTTTGCCCTAGAAGCCAATGCTGCTCAATTAGTGGCTGCCTAGAACTGCACTGCCCATGTTAGCCTTTAGCCACAGGTAGCTGTTTAATAGCAAACTTAAATTACTTACAATTTAAGACTCAGTTCCTGTCATACTGATCACACTTCAAGCACTCAATGCAAAGGCACTGAATAGTTTTCATTATCACAGAAATTCTCATTGGGCGGCACGTAAAGATTCTCATTATTTTGGAAAGGATTTTGAGGCTGTGTCTGGGCAGCTGGAAAATTATTGTGGTCCATTAGCAATGCCTTCAGTGGGTACTAGGAGAACCAGGGGAAGCACATTCAAAGTATTCGCCATTCTCAAAGTAGTATCATATCTATAATAATAAAGGGGCAATATGCTCATTAAACCGGTCGTCTTCCGGACGTCATTCCGGAAGTTCTTCCTGACAAAGCCGGGGCCGGAGGGAAGCCAGCCCAGGTCCCAGGTGTCTGCCGGCAGCTGGAGGAGGGAAGCAGCCTGGGTTCTGGGTGCCTGCCAGCAGCCAGAGGAAGGAAGCAGCCCCACTCCCTGGTGCCAGGGGGAAGCTGGTGCCAGCAGCTGGGGGAAGGAAGGCCTACTCTTGCACGAATTTTTGTGCATCAGGCCTCTAGTATCTTAATGAGACCGTGGATTCCTTAAAGGCAGGTATCCTGCACAGATAATATCATAGTACCTTATAGAAAAGGCATTTAATAAATATTGGAAGAGAACTGGATTGCAATAAAAGCCATTTTACATAATTTTAGAAAAAAATTACAATAAGATTTCCAACATTTTACCCTATGATATAATAGCACCCCATTAAACAATCAATAGAATACAGAGGTTTGGGGGTTTACTATATCTATTAATATGATTTCTGGTCACGTCTTGACTCTCGTAACTTTTTTTGCCCATTAGTTGTTGACAACATGAAGAAAGCACTCAAGTTGCTGAAGACTGAATTGTAGAGAAAAAACAAAATTTGCAAGCTCTTCCCTCTGTTTCTGGCCATGACCTGGAACCAGAGGGGATTTCAGAAGACCCTGCAGAAGGCAGGAGCGCAGTGGGCATGCTCATTGGGTTATGGTTTAATGTTACAACAGCTATTTTTTAAAATTTGTTTTCAAGTATACATGTATGAAAACAATATTGTGTACTACCATAGCAAGCCATACTTTTTAAAAAAATAAATCCTTCGGGGGTGTTAAACTGTTCTTTTTTTCCCCAACTTGATCTTTCACAGAAAAGCTGTTGGGTTCATTCACCAAATAGGACTTTTGGACACACATAATGTTTGGGGTTGGGGGTGCAGAGACAAGAAAAAATAGTTCAAGCAATGAAGACCAAAGACAGTCAAATTATCACCTCAGCTCACTCATTTTTCACTGGGTGACTAATGTACACATTAGCTTAATCACCAGCAGTATCAAACAGAATACGCATTCTTCTGAAAGAACATGTAGAAAGGCATCCCCAAGAAAACCAGGTACCTAAATGGAAGACACCCCCCAGAAACTTCTATGTACACACTTTAATCATCGAATTTTAATATATATTTTATTGACTTTTTACAGAGAAGAAGGGATAGAGATAGAGAGTTAGAAACATCGATGAGAGAGAATCATCGATCAGCTGCCTCTTGCACAGCCCCTATTGGGGATATGCCCGCAACCCAGGTACATGCCCTTGACCGGAATCGAACCTGGGACCTCTCAGTCCGCAGGCCGACGCTCTATCCACTGAGCCAAACCGGTTTCGGCAGAATTTTAGTTAGATTTTGCCCAACTCCATGCTTTCAGAGAAAGAGCCTCTGGCAGGTGGCTTTCTCCTTCAGAAGACTGATTTTGTGAGAAGGTCATTCAAAGAACATCTGTACCCATGAACACATGCTAAAGAAATACTGAGAATTGACCTGATGATGCACTGGATCTATCAAGGCCTCGAGTCCTGGCCTGGAACAAACTCAGTTGAACTGCTCCCATCTTTGTGACCAAATTATGACTGCCTAGGAGAAAAGCACAGGGCAGTGATGTCCTGTCCGTGGGGACAGATCAGAGGTCATTATTTCTCCCTGGAAAAGTTGAGAGAGGGTGTGGTATCCGGTGGGGCAGCAGAGTCAGCTGCTTTTAACTCTGTTCTGCCAAAAATTAGGACTGTGTTCATTTCTTCACTACATATTGAATACTCTCACATTTATTATTACATGGAATTCTCTTATTACCCAGCCCCCACTTGACTTCTTCAGCCCCTCAATGACTGTGGTGGTCAGTGCAATGCTTTGCATATTGATTACCTATTGCTTGTCTTGAGTAACTTTTTTTAGACAGGTCCTTTTCTGAATAGATTCCTTGGCATTATTAACTTTTCCAGGGCAGATAATAAATTTTAAATACTTTTCTCACTCACAGTACTCTGACAGAGCTATTCACTAATGAGTTCTGAGCATATATTGTTGATTGAATGGCATACAAATCTTCAGCAAATATGTCCACAGAGGGATTAGGCTCCCTTCACATTAGCAGGTAACCTACATGTGCATAAAGAGGAAAAATATTCCACTTAGAAAGTTCTCTGAGGGTTAATGAGGAGAAAAAAAAAAGTTTTCACTGTATAAACAAATATTTGAATGACAACTTCTGAGTTATTCAGGCTTTATCTGTAGTCTAGCAAAATAATGTTTACTTTTTTATTGGGCTGATGCTACATAAGAGTAAGTCCTTAAAATTTATTGAATGACAAAATGCTATTTTAACAACACACATAATTTAAATATATATAAATAAATAAGTCTTTGGGAAGTCAAATGCCAAGGTTGCAAGAAAAAATGAATCTCCCTTAGAAAAGTATTAAACACAGAGCAATAGTCATTGAAAACAACAGCTAACTTTAACCCCATTTCCTCAACTTCTGAGAATTTGTCCTAAGAAGATAAATCACTCAAGAGAAATAGAGTTGTGAAGATGCCAATGGCAACACTATTTAAACATACCCTCCCCAAAAGGCAATATCCAAATATAATGACTACATATTTATTAACACATAGTGCAGTGTATTGTTGCCTATGAAAGTAATAAACATTATGGAGAAACAAAAGGATAAGTGAGAAAGAATTTTAAGAGTTTTTATGATTTTTGCAACTATAGGAAATATGTTAGAGAAGTGAAGATGCAAACATCAAAACTGTTGTTTAAGTTCATGGAAATATTAGCAAGGTCTAGTCTATCAAACCCTTTATAGGCATCTCACAATTTTTCCTTTGTGTTCAAATACATTTAAATGAAAGCATATCTTGACTACTACTCTGACTACAAAGAATGCTGTGAGAGGAGAGAGTATTATTTCAAACAGCTGACTAAAAATGTTGGCACCATAGTGAGAATGTAAAATGGTGTAGCCACTATAGAAAAAAAAATATGAGTGTCCCTCAAAGCTGACATACAGAATAACCATATGTTTCAGTAATTCCAATTCTGAGAATGTACCCGAAGCAACTGAAAGCAAGGAAAAAGTATACGTATACTCACAGCCACAGCAGCATTATTCACAATAGCCAGGAGGTGGAAGCACCCCACATATCCATCGATGGATGAATGGATAAATAAAATGTACTACATACATACAGTGGAGTATTATTTAGACTCTAAAGGGAAGGAAATTCTGACATATGTTACAACATGGATGAACTTTGAGGACATGATGGTAAATAAACCAGTCACAAAGGGACAAATACTATATGATTCCACTTATATGAGGTACCTACTGTAGCCAAACTCATAGAAAAGAGACTGATGTTGTCGGGTCTGAAGGGAGTTACTGTTGAACAGGTGCAGATTTTGAAAATGAAAATGAAAGTCTGGAATTGGACGGTGGTGGTGGCTGTGGAACAATGGGAATGCACTTAATGACACTGAATTATACACTTAAAAATGGTTACAATGATAGGGTTTGTTATGTATGTTTTACCACATTGAATTTTTTTTACCAGATTTATCTGAGGCCCCGTAACTTATAGAAAAGTTGGTTTAACATAAATCATCTGTAAAGGTCATTTACATGGATGATCAATATGTTTGATTAAACCATTTTTACCTGTTTTAGAGCCATAGTCATCTTCAAATGATTGTTTATGATCATCTAACTCTGTGTTGTTTGTTTGTGTGGGGCGTTTTTTGCTTGTTTTATGCATTCAGTAATCCTAAATAGCTCCTGGGGTCCTTATATTTAGCAACCACTGGTGAGAGTGGGCGCTGGAGGAAGAACAGAAAAAGCTCAAAGGCAAAAACACAACTTTCTTCAGTGCCTTACCAACGAGGTGGACTTCAAACTCCAAGTCAAGGCAGCCTAACATTAAAAAGCCACTTGTCATGTTGTGACCTCACCTACCTGTAAAGAGCAAGATCTGAAAGTAAACAAAAGTACTTTCATCCTCCAAGTGATATCAAAGTCCATTCTTTGACACAAATTTTTAATTCAAAGGCAACTCCTTCAGGCCCTCATTTGAAAATGAATTTTAAAAGCTGGTTTTCCTGAGGTGAGCAGTTGAGAGCTAGCCAGGCATATGGCTGGAGGGGCTGTCTCAAGAGGTATTTCAATGAGTACAATTGCCAGGATATGACCTGACATTCCAGAAACACTTCAATATGAAGAGCTCTCTCTCTCTCTCTCTCTCTCTCTCTCTCTCACACACACACCTGGTGCAGTTATTTGTTTGGAAAATATTCACCAACAACACATCTTGTCATTGCACTTGGCATAGAGACCCAGGAGTAAAAATTAACTGCCCCAAATAGACCAAGTGCAGAACAACTTTACACAAATCCCCTCACTTTCCCAGAAACCGAGGAAGCTTGACCTCTAACCTTACTGTCATCTCTAATAAAACAATGGACACAGAGGTGATCATATTTGTACGATTGCAATGCCTGAAAGTGTTTTTCTCCTAAGAAATATTATGTAAAAATATGATTCTAACTTTTCCGTACCAGCTAAAACGTAAAGTAGTTTCATATATTTACTCAGTGCATTTTCAAAAGGGTGAATAAACTTTCATAGGGTTCAACAAATATTTATGAAAATTATAGAAGGAGGTTTTTGGCATAAGGACACGAAAAACTAAGCCACACTGGTTTCTTTTCTCTCTCTGAAGGGTTCCATTCAGCAGCATATTACTGAGGTAGACCACGCAGAACTGGCTTTCATACCAAACTCACTGCGGCTTAGAAAACAGAGTATCTGGGATGAATTTATATCACGTGAGCTCAGATTTTAGAAATTATAGTTTAACATTTTTCCTTCATATTAGCACTATATTATCTAATTAAAATTTCGCCTTTAACTTCAAGGCTGACTGGGCAGATGTTCTGAGAAACAGTCCTCTACTATAAATGGACTATGTGAATAAGGCATAAAGAGAAATATATAAAGGTATTATAGTTTCTTTTTAAAAATAATTCTATAGTTTACAGCCCTAAAGATGCGTGCTTCCCAGCTCTGATTTGTAGTTAGGTTGACCCAAATAAAGGCCATTGAAATTAGAGCACAAACCAAGGCTATGGGTTTTTTGTTTTTTTCTTCTCTCTGAAATAGCCCTTTCAACTTATAGTCATTTGTACCAAGAAAATTAATATGTGAGAAGATTCCAGAAACTCCTGTGAGGTTCAAAATGTCACAAGGTAAACAGGGAAACAAAAAGACATGGTTCAAAGTTTCACTTCCTTCGTGTGTCACCTAGAATCTCATCTGATGGTATAAGAGGAAACTTTGTTAGGTTGGCCAGTGCTTAATATGACATGGAAGAATAACAGAATATGCTACCCCACCATATGCCTCCTAGGCATAAAGATTATTTTGAGCTGATTATGTCTGAGAAACAGCAGACACAAGAGAAGCTCTGAAAACTGAGAAGTGTACCCTTCTGTGGGGGAAATTTACATTTACAGTGGAAATCTCCTTTTGTAGGATGTCCCTTCTCTGTACCAGGAAAGATGATTCTAAATTACAAGAAACTCTTATCAAAATGTAGACGTGACTGACGTAGTTCTGCATATCAAACGTTACCTGTCCTTTGTTTACTGTGCTGCTCCTGGTAGTCCCCATAACTGGCATGCGTGCGCACACACACACCTTTCTTTTGCCTTTAACTAAAGAAGGTATTTAAGATGGTGGCCTAAGTCATCTCAGGGAGTTACAGTCTTTCTGGGTATCCTTTATGTAT